CCCTAAACCCTAAACCCCGCCCTCCCTGAAAAGACGCCTCCGCGGTTTACCTGCGAGGCGGCGGCCCCCACCAGCACGGTGCGCCGGAGCTCTGGGTCGAACCTCTCGAGGGCTAAGAGAATTAGGGCTTTTAGGGTTTGGGGTTTGGGGTTCAGGGTTAAGGGCTCAGAATTTGGGGCTGTTAGGGTTTGGGGTTTAGGGTTTGGGGTTTAGGGTTTGGGGTTTATGGGTTTAGGGTTCAGAATTTAGGGCTTTTAGGGTTTGGGGTTTAGGGTTCAGAATGTAGGGCCCTTTAAGGATTCCAAACAAAAAGGGCTTCCTGCTGATGCATGCGCGCTTCGTGCTTGCAAGGATCGAAAGGCGGAAGATGGCGTCCGCATTTCAAGGGGGCATTTAGGGGTTAGGGCTTGGGGTTTAGAGTTTAGGCTTTGGGATTAGATGGGGCTTTGTGGAATCGTTGTGAATGGATAGCTCTCAAAATTGGGATCCGTTTTTAGGTCCCCCAAATAGTACAGCACCCTTCTGAAGAAGGAACCAAAGAGGGACCCGAATTTTGAGAACTACCCATACCCTGAGCTCTGAACACGAAACTAAACCCTAAACCCTAAACCCCAAACTCCAAACCCTAAACCCCGAACCCTAACGGTACTAAGCCCCCTACCCCGGCCCGGAGCCCCTAGGTCGAAGCCCTAAGACCCGCACACTCCAAATGAAACCAAGGCTGTGGGCTTGAATGAAACCCTGCTGCATTGAGGGGTTGGGGCTTTGGGTTTTGGGTTTAGGGTTTAGGGGTTAGGGTTTAGGCTTTTAGGGTTTTAGGGTTTAGGCTTTTAGGGTTTAGGGTTTAGGCTTTTGGGGTTTAGGGTTTTAGGGTTTAGGGCTTCGGGTTTCGGAAGACCTCACCCGCGTACCCGCCTAAAGATGAACATCGCTCTAAGCTTTCTGAATCTTGAACCCGGGGCCTGCAACCTAAACCCTAAACCCTAAACCCTAACCCCTAATCCCTAAACCCTAAACCCTAAACCGTAAACTCTAAACCGTTTAACTTTGTGATATGAAGGCCTTGATAGCTAATTACAAGCGGGTTTGGGGTCTATTTTACATAGGCTGCGATGCTGGTTTAATGTTTTTGAAGCCTATAATATAAGTCTATCAGTGGTCCCGGGCGCATACCCGAACCGTTAAATCGAAAAGTACATGACATCGGGAGACCGACAGAGCAAAAGGGCAAAAGTGTAAAACAAATATACAGATTTCTACATAAACAAGCAAGCCACCGTGCACTCCCTTAGACTCGAAGTAGTAGGACTACACAAGGATTTGACAAGCAAAAAAATTCAGACCCTATAGTACACCCCGGCCCAGGCCCCGTCCTCCTGCAAAGGTCCAAAGGCGGGCCAGGCTCCAAGCAAACGAGGAGATTGCCTGCTGCCCAGAAATGCCATGGTTGAGGGGGCTAGCTCTTCGGCTTAGGGTTTAATTTGAGGGTTCAGGGTTTAGGGCTCATAAATTCGAGCGTGGAGTCAACTGCTTCGGGTTGAGGGGGCCCTCAGGGGGTCTAAGGCTTGGGGTCTGTTGTTTCGGGGTTCGCGATTTTGGGCGGCTTTATAAGGTTTATCATAAGTGATCAGAGATTGGAGGACTCGAAAACCTGGAATGGAAGATAAAGGAAAAGGCAGCGGAGGCCAGCAGTGGAAGGTTTGGCTTCTACGGTTTCCGTGGGGATGTCTGCTTCAAGGCCTAACAAAGCTAGGATTTTGGGGTCCCAGATTTAAAATTTAAAGCTCCGGGTTCAGGAAGTAAGTTCAGGGCAGCTTCCAGCAGCGAGGCGCCTGCCGACGCCAGGTAGCGCAGGCGGATGTCCTGATCGAAAGCCTAATGAAACCGGAATAATTAGTGAACTTATTCCTTAGGTTCTAGGGTTTAGGGTTTAGGGACCCTAAACCCTTAGTTCCGCTACACATTGGACCTCGGCTGCCAACACCTGAAGCCCCTGGGCACAACACACTCCCCAACCGGGCCCCGACCCAGCTCTAAACCCCTAAACCCTAAACCCTAAACCCCACAACCCCAAACCCCAAGCCCCTAAACCCAAAAGGCCCCAAACCCCTCAACCCATCCTGGAGGCCTGGGTTTCTTTCTCAGCTCGGGTGATCTTCACGCATTGCAGGGGTTCCGGAATTTTAGGATTCAGGGTTTAGGATTTCAAGAACGGTTTAGGGTTTAGGGTTTAGGGTTTTGGGTTCAGGTTTAGGGTTTAGGATTAGGACTTCAAGTTTCGAGGATTTGGGATTCAATCAGGGCATGCTGTCCTCGCCGCCGCAGCAGCCGCAGTCACGATTAGCTTGAAGGCTACTTCAAAAACCATCAATGCTAACAACACGCAACCCTACCGTGCAGCAGGGGTTTACAGCAAAAAAGTCAGATCCTAGAGATAGAAACGGCAGCTTGAAGTCATGAACCTGAGGTGATGTGTTGCTCTGCCAGATGGACCATGACGGTCCAAGACTTCCCGAAACATGCAACCTCGAACAAATAATATAGAGGCCTACAAAAAATGCCTATACTATTTTTGGGGGGTTCCTTGTCATAATGATACTAGAATGGGCCCGAGAACCCTATTCTAACTCTTAAGGCCCCTATATTACTGGAAACACTCCCTAAACCCTAAACCCCAGACCCTAAAGCATAAACCCTAAACCCAAACCCAAACCCCTAAACTCTGACATAGTACCACCCTGGAGCCCCAAGCTCAGACCTAAAGCTTCAGCCGTATGCCCTGGTCTAGGGTGTAGGGTTTATAGGGTTGAGGGTTTAGGGTTTAGGGTTTAGAGTTCAGGGTTTAGGGTTTTGGGTTTTGGGTTAGCCCTAAACCTTGAACCCTGAGCCACTACTACAGAAGCCGGGCTAATGTTCCATGTCATAGCTCATCTAAAACCTCTACCCCCCAAACCCTCTTCTAATTGTAGAATCCTCATGGAAACCCTTGCAGAATTCCAGACCCCTTTGAAGGCAACCTTTAAAGTAATCCCTAAACCCTAAACCTTAAACCCTAATCCCTAAACCCTAAACCTTAAACCTTAAACATGGGACCCAACTTGCAACAAGCGACCTCGATCTTCGCCTCTGGAAAAGTAGGACACTTCCTGGCTGGGGCTCGGCCAGAAGTCAAACCGAAACATCATGTAGGGCGTGGGGTTCAGGTTTTAGGGCTTAGGGTTTAGGGTTTAGGGTTTAGGGTTTAGGGTTTAGGGTGTAGGGCTGAAGCTTTAGAACTTTAGGGCGTTGACGTCACACCGGGGCCTGCTTGAAACTGAAACCGTGGCTTCTATTAGGTTGCTTATCAGGGTTTGTAAGTGTTTTAATGAAGTTTTTGCAGGGGAGGTTCTTACAGGGAAGCCTAGAAAGTTGGAACATGGCTCTAGCATGATTAGTGCTAGGATCCCTTATGCTTTACCTTAAGAGCACCAGGACCAGTGATGTTCCAACTTTCTGGCCTCTATTTTAAAATTACTGAACCTGGGGCCTTCCTTTCTGGCTAGCCCTGATATTGCGGCTTAGGGTTTAGGGTTTGGGGCTTAAGGGGTTTAGGGGGCATCCTACTGTTTCAGGTCCGCGTTATATTCCCCGATTTGCTGAAAGCCCCACAATGACTTGCAGAAGCTACCGAAAAACCACCCTAAACCCTAAACCCTAAACCCTAAAACTTGCTTGGGATAAGAAAGGCAGGGCAGTGTAAGTGAAGGGGTCGGTGTCGGGTGGTGGTGGTGGTATAATGTAGAGGCCTAAATAATTACCTATACTATTTTGTGTGTTCCTTTTTATACATATGTATAGTATAATGGGCCCCAAAACCCTATGCTAATTCTTAAGGCCCCAATATTAGTGGCATTGACGCTGGTAGTGGCAGTCCAGTCAACAACTACCGGACAAGTGTCTGTGGAGAGGTTGGCCGGAAACCAAAGTCTTTCAGAACCGGATTTTGAAGTCGATTGGCCAAAAAATGAAGCCTCAACTCCGGGAAACAGGAAGAAAATCCAAACCTTCGAAGCACGGTTTTAGAATTACACCTGGGCTTTGGATATCCGATTCGGAGCAACTTTGGGCTTTTTGGGGGGCCTCCTTTAGGAATTCTCGTGCTGGCAAACAGTCCCAGGCCCTAGGGTAAAGCATCACTAGAGGTCTTGGTGCTGTAGGGTCTACGATGTGCAGCCCCTAGTTCCACCACAGCCTTCTCCCTGAACTCTGACACTTGTTCACCCCTTTTCAGCCCCTAACCCTAAACCCTAAACCCTAAACCCTAAACCCTAAACCACTCAACCCTAAACCCTAAACCGTTACAGCCACAGCAGGAAGCCTGAGACTCCAAGTTCTACACCTCATAACATCAAAAACCCACCAACCATACATCCTAAGGCTCATACCACGAAAGATGACCATGACCAACTACCCTTAACCGAAACACTAGACCTAAACCCGAATCCACCTAAATTCCTAAACCCTAAACCCTAAACCCTAACCTTGGCGTCCGCAAGACAGCCCATGCCGGCGTAAGATACTGCAAAGAAGCCGCGAGAGCCCCTTCAGAACTGGAAGCTTCATCCGAAGGTAGGGGGTTTGGCGCTTAGGGTTGAGGGTTTAGGGTTTAGGGTGTAGGGGCCTTACTAATTAGACTAGGGTCTTGGGGTATATTACTGTACACTAAAGCTATAGTAAGGGATCCCAAAGATAGTATAGGTAATTCTTAAGGCCCTTATGTTAAAGGCGTTTAAACCTCAAACCCTCAACTCGGAAGCCCAAATCTTAAAACCCCGACATCACCAATGTAGACTCCGGAGCAGTAAACCTGCGGTTTAGGGTTTAGGGTTTAGGATTTAGGTTTAGGGTTTAGGGTTTAGGGTTTAGGGTTTAGGGTTTAGGGTTTGGGGTTTGGGGTACCATGATAAACCTTCTGACAGAAAGGGTGTTTCTGAATAAAGGGACCTACTGTAGTCCTAAACCCTCAAACCCTTAAGCCCTTAACCCAAAATCCTAAGCCTGCATAGAACGCTTAGACTTCCCTTTTCACCCCTGAACCCTAGACCCGAACCCCTAAACCCCAAAACCCTAAACCCTAAAGCCTAAACCCTGAACCCCAGAAGCAACCTTAAACCCCAAAGCCCGAGAGCTCGAAGACGAAGCCAGGAGTCTCGGGGAGATGCATGAGGTCGAGATTTGCGCAGCCTCAGGGTTTTAGGGTTTAAGGTTTAGGGTTTCGGGTTTAGGCTTTAGGCTTTAGGGTTTAGAATGTAGGGTTGAGGTTTTAGGGTCTAGGTTTGGGGGTGAGGGAAGGGTTTAGCGCGTGCACGCGCTACTGGCACGCGAGCATCACCAGCGCAATTGTGACTTGATTTTGAGCTGAATGGATCAGGAAGGGGTCACAACCTTAGACAAACCATCCAAAGCCATGGTGTGAATGGGAACTTTCAGCTTGTGATGTAAAGCAAATTGTTTTAATCGAGCTCTGTCTAGTGCTTAGAGGGCATCCTGAAGGATTTCCCATGCAGGATTTAGATGTCGGGGATGACGTCTAGGTTTGTGTCTGAGGGGAGGTGTGAGAATTAGAGGGGAGGATTTCTAACAGCAAACGCAGACTGCAAAGAGTGCTGTAAACCCCCGATTATTAAATCACCTTTCTTGAAGGGCCTTACCATGACGATTACCGCTTATCATCCTCGTTCTTGAGGAGGTTATTTACCTCGAGTCCACAGAAGAATAACTTAACTTCACAGTTCGACAGTCCAGCTCTTTTGGTATATCAGGCTCGCAGTTACAGAACCTGACTGACCAAGGACACACTTCGGGGCACTGCGTGGAAAAGGCCTTAGTCGATTGGGATTGGGCTTCCGGGTGTTGTACACAAGGAACACTGTTGCTAGACCCCGATGTTAATGGTCAGGGTTGGGGCTCCCTACCCCTAAACCCTAAACCCCAGGTTCGCACTTGCCTTTTCATCGCTCTGCTTGCTGAAATCCGGGGAGAGTCTCGCTGAAGCTACTTCCAGCAACCCGACAAGCCATATAGAGCCCCTCAATGACATGAATTTCCAGGGTGCGGGGTTTAGGGTGTAAGGCGTAAGGCTCTAGACCCGAAACCCAAACCACCAAAAAGCCGAAAGACAAGCTACAACTCCAGAACCCCGAAGATCTTCCGACCCTGAAACCCTAAACCCTAAACCCTGAAACCCTAAACCGGAAACCCTGAACTTCTCTAGCCGAACTCGGGCAGCTCCCCTCAGACATAGCCCAAGGCTTGCCGCAGCTCCTGGATTGGCTCAGAGGTTTGCGGTTTTGGGGTTTTTTAGGGGTTTAGGGCTTAGGGTTTAGGGTTTAGGGTTTAGGTTTAGGGGTTTTAGGGCTTTAGAGTTTTGTGGCTTTAGGGGTTAGCGCTTGAGGGCGAAGGCTTTAGGGAAGTAAGGGGCTTTGGGGTTTTAGGGGTTAGGGCTTGAGGGCGAAGGCTTTAGGGAATTAAGGGGTTTGGGTTTCTGGCTTAGGGGTTTAGGGGTTAAGTTTAGGGCTTTAAGGGTTTGCGTTTGAGGGAGGTAGCAGTTAGGACTTGTCTCGGGATTTGGGGTGTAGGGACTGAAGGCTTTGCTAGGGCTTGAGGGATTCAGGGGTTTAGGGTTTCGGGTCTAGGGGTTTAGGGTTTAGGGTTTAGGGTGTCGGGTTTAGGGCTCAGTGTTTCAGTGGCGGTTCCAGTTTCAGGATTCAGGCTGTTGAGTGTGTCTCGATCATGGGGCTTCAGGGCTTGCGGGCTGTAGGATTTGCACTAGGGTTCAAGGGTTTACCCTCAACCCTAAACCCTAAACCATAGACCCTAAACCCTAAACCCTAAACCATAGACCCTTAAGCCTAAACCCTAAACCATAGACCCTTAACCCTAAACCCTAGACCCTAACCCCTAAACCCTAA